CACGTTGACACATTATATCAGCTCTCCTAAAAACAAGTTGGTCACTTTTTCTTACACTACTAAGTAAATAAATATATATAATTTTCCCACATTTCGTTCTTTCTTAAACAATCAAAAGTTTCAAGCAGATTAAACTTAATTCCAAGTTACATATCCAGAGGAGTATAAGGTAAGTTATATTGTAGAGTGACAACCATACAATTTAGGCATGCATATGTAAAATGAGGATCTAAAACCAAATCGAAACTGGACAAAATGTGAACCTGAAACCGAACTATGCTCACAAATATCCGCATATATCTCTTGAACCGAAAACTATAACCCAACCGAAATAAAAACCGAATGAGTATTCAAATATCTTAAATATAATTTATATATCTAAATGTATTATTAATTATATTTAATTTTATTAATTATATTTAATTTCTCGATTATCAAATTTTCTAAAATAGTATTTATAAATCATGCTATCAGAAGAAAAACTAATTATCATTATCTAAAATATTTTAAACTATTCGAGTTATCATAATATGTTTATTCAAATATGTCGTTATACAATATATAATCCAGAAAATATGTTGTTAACCTCGAGTTATCCAAAAATATCTAGAAAACATGAACCAAATCAGAACAAGACTGGATCCAAATTTTATTGGATATTAGTTTGTTTCTGACATTGTTATCCGAACTGAAATCCAACATAATTTTATTAACAACCGAATGGTTTGCTATATCTCGAAAACCAAAAATCAAAAACAAAAAGAATGATCGGAATCAAACCGATAACCAAACACCCAATAAAGTGAAGACCAAACAAACTATTATTTATTTTTGAAAGAAAAAATCTAGACAATCTGTTTATTTATACGTGTCATCCCTACGCATGGACCATGCTAAACTTCTCTATATCATTCCAATTTTATCGGATGTGTCCAAAGGCACAACGAACAATTATTTCGCCTTTAGGTAAAGGATACTATATCCTCTCTGATCTCAAACTGCATGCACCTATCTTTCGGATGGGTTATGTAAACAAATCCAGAACTGAAATCGAAACGGATTTTATAAATAATCAAATGGTTCCTATACCTCAAAAACCAAAAATCAAAACAAATAAATAACTAATCGGAATCAAACCGAAACCCAAACATGCAATAAAAGGATAACCAAATAAACTATTGTTTCTTTTTCTAGAGAAAAATGTAAACAATTTTATTTATCTATTTGTTGTCATCTTTGCATAGTGACCATACTAATATTTTCTATATCTTTCCAATTTTATCGGATTTCTCCAAAGAACTATTATTATTTTTCTTTGACTAAAGAATACTATGTCCCCTCTGATCTTAAATTGCATGCACTTATATTTGGGATGGGTTAACCCCCCCCCCTCCGAATCATTTATGGGGTTTACAAGTTTATAATAAATACTGAACATTGAATTAGGCTAATGGTTGAATCCAAGGAAGATGAAAACGGTAAACACTCGGGAGAAATCTATATTATAAAAATTGAAGTACTTTTTGGTACTGTTTGGAAACATGAATAACAGTATTAAAAGAAGTATTTTTGAAAATATGAATAGCTATGTCTTTTTAGTATTTTCTTTTATTTACATATTTAGCATTCCATTTACAATAAATTAAGTACTTCTTTTTTTTTGTATTTCTTTTTATTTACAGATTCTGTTGCTACATATAAAATCAATTTAAATTATTTCATTCCAATTCCAAAGCTAATGTGTTATTAATAATATATGAATATAAATTATAATATATAAACACATTTTAAATATATCATAAATTTATTTAATTTAGTCAAATAAAAAATAGAGTTTAGTTTTCAAGAAAAAAATATCATAAAATTAATAATAATTCATAGAAAACTAATGCAAAAAACTAAATTTTTTAGTATATTGTTTCATTTTAAAGTAAATTAACAAAAACAATTAACAGGTTAATATATCAATAGTATAATTACATCAACTTATAAAATTCTTAATATAATATTATGTAGAAATAAATAAATATTATCAAACATCTGTATTATAAAATATTATATTCTACTTTATATGTAAATTGTTTTTGACACAATATAATCTAAACTATGATATATTGACGTCCGTTTTGGACAACTAGATCGGAGGAATAGAATCAACATAAAATATAGTAGAAAAGGAACTCCTAACACCTCGTGTAAGTTTGTCCGCCACTGAATTTTGCGCTTTTGGAATATGTCAGATCTTGAAGATAAGGAAAAAATCTTACTTCGCTGGAACTCTATATGTAAATTACAAAACAGAAAAATATATATGGGATTTTTTTATAAAACTAGCAATTTTGTGAATTTACGTTAAATAAAAGTTAAATCAAATAACTACACGAGGACGCGGGGTCAACATCAATATTATTAAAACTGAAATAACTTTTTTACTGTTAGGAAATAATGATGGTTTGATAAATGATAATTGTTTGAAAAACGTGGATAGCAAATTAAGTACTTCTTTTTTTTTCTTTTTTTTGTCAGCAATAATACACTCATGTAGCCTCTGTGAACCAAACTGGTAACTCTGAATCCATATGAACAACAAAAGACGATTGCTTTCTGACATTGCGTGCGAGACTATCCGCCTTTAGGTTTTACGTCTATGGAGCACGGATGAGCTCTGAACTATAATAACTTTACTTCGAAAAGCTAATATCTTCCAAATAACTTGCAAATACGGGTTATTCTTCTGGTTCAAAAGCCATCTTCACCAACTAAGAATAATCCGTTGCAAATGTAACTGTATATTGTCTTAAATTCTTCATGTATTTCATGGCCCATATAAGAGCCTCAATCTTCGAGTGTAGTGGCGATTGGCTCACTTTTGTGTTCCTCGCTCTATATGTAAATTACAAAATATAGAAAAAAAATTTATAAAACCAGCGGTTTATGAGTTTACGTTGAAACATAAATTAAAGCAAACACTCGTACAGGGATGCGGATCAAATTCTAGTAAATTATTAAAAGCTGATCCCCACATTTGATAGGTGTATATAATAGGTGCATAACTTATAAATCATCAATATTAGAGAGTTGTACTCTAAAGTTGCCTTAACATAATATATCCCAAAACTAAAACCAAAACAAATAAAAAAGTTTTTAAAATAATAAATAGGGAAGAAAGACAAAGAAGTAAGAGGGAGAGACATTAAGAGCATCTCCAGCAAATGTTTTGGTTTTACTCTATTTTCAAAATCGATCTTGAGATTTAAGAGATCTTATTCAAAAAAAAAAACAATTATTTTAAAATGGTAATTTTTTATTTTTTCATAAAAATTAGTTTTTTAGGAGCTAAAAAACTTAATTTGAATTATATATTATATTTAAAGAAAGAAAGTATTAGTTGTAACCTTATAAAATATTATATTTTCTTTCTTTTATTTTTAACCAAAAATCTATTTTTATTAAATTTATGCATAATAAAGAAATATTTTGTTTTTTATTTATTTCACATTTGCATTATATATATAATATGAATATATATATATATATATATATATGTATAAAAAAAATATTTTTTGTAAATTGGGGGGACACTAGATGGAGTCCCTATTCAGATGCTTCAAAAACATTTGGTCAGATCCAGCAATGTTCGTTTTTCACTTTACATTTTTGTTTTGTTTGTTATTTATTACATTGTTATTTGAAAATAGAATAATTTTCGACTAAAATTCAAGTCATTACAAAATTAAGATTTTAGAAAAATATAATGTAATTTTATATTAAAAATGTTCGAAGTCACGAACTCCGCATTGTCTAGATCCCCTAGGAAACACCCCCTGCCTTCCTGCTGCCCAATCTCACGCACACATTACAAACACACTTTTTAATATCTTCTAGGTATTTAATTAGTATTTACAATTTATTATTTTCTAAGAAATCTCCACGTCTCTTGTTTTGACATGTAAGTTTCATTTGTCCAACTCAGGAAAATATGTTTTAGAATAAATTTGGATAGAATTAGAGGTATTTAATCCAACAAAATCGAACCAAGTAAAATCAAACCGAAATAGAAAAAGCGGTTTTAGTAATACCAAATCAACCAAATATGTTATTTTTTTAAAAGAAATTACAGTATTTAGATGATTTGGTGTAAAACGGTCAAATCGAATAAACTGATTAATAAAAATAATAGTATATTTATATAAGTTTTATAATAAAATAAATAATATATATAATTTATTTTATTAATATTATATTCATATTTAAAACATTAAATTTAAAAATTTATTATTTTGTTTAAAGTTAGAAAGGTTATTTCTTTCTGATTTTCATCCAATTAAATAAAAAAAAATTATTTAGTTTTATTGGTAACTATGCTTATATATAGCTATACAATAATATTATTATATTATTATTTTCTTGCTTTTATTTGAATATTTAAATAAACATAAAATATTCTATTTAATCTATTTAATTGTTAGAGTAAGGAATGTATATTTATGTTTTAACAAATCAGACTTCTAATAAATATGTTATGGTTTTTTCTATAAAACTGAATAAATTAAAAACTGATAATATATAAATTGAACAAAACAAAATTAGATATAATCTTAATATGGTAACTCATTTTTATAAATTGAAATATCTAAAATTAGAACGGAAATTCAGATTCAACATACTTAGATAAAATCAACAAAAACTGACTATTTGAACCAAAAACGTTTATTAAATGTACAGCTCTGCAAGAAATTTGCTGACTTAAAAAAAAATATACAACTAATTTTAATTAATTAAAAGAAAATTCGCCGAATATTTCTCCTGGACTTTGTGTTATTCAAACAAATTGAGTTCCATTTGTTTTTTTTTTGTAATTTATTGAGTTTCATTTCTGTGTTAAACAGATTCATATATTTAGTTGAGCTTCTCTAAACTCTCTCTCTCTCTCCTCTCAAAGACCAAACCTTCGATCTCATTCTCTGGAGAAGAAAGTTGAATCCTTTTTTGATTCGAAAATGGCGAAGAACGTCGGGATATTGGCTATGGACATCTATTTCCCTCCCACCTGTGTTCAACAGGTGAGAAGCCTCCACACCTATGCTTATGCCTATTATACTCTGTTTCTGTCGGAGCTTTCTCTGTTTTTATTTTGGCGTTTCGAACATTGTTGAACTCGCCTTTTGAGGTTATGATTTTTCATAAATCGTCGTGAAAATTTGCCGAACATGATGTGGAAATCTTTATACATATTCTAGAAGAATTTTCCAGGGAAGATCTCAAAGGTTTCAGACAAGACGTTTGTTTTGTTCTTTCTCTCTGGGTTTTGTAATGCGGCTGAGTTTTGGATGTACAAGTCAGAATATGCTAAAGTTTTTTTTTCTTTTTTCTTTTTAATTGTTTATTTATTTATTTTGAAGTTAAAAAAAAAGATTATGATTCTGATTAAATTTCTCAAAATGGAGATCTCTGTGTCTATGTCTAAAGATCTGGTGATGATACTGAGGACTGATTTGATCAAATGATATCCACTTGATTGGCATTAGGAGTTTGAAAAGTTCTTTATTTCTCATCAAGTCTCCATTTGAAAAAGTTCAAACTTTATACAACTTTGTGGTTCTTTATTCAGATGAGATTCTACTTGCAAATCTTTTATTTTATCAGCTAATATAAGAAATGATCTCCAACATTCTGTTTCAATCTTTGTTTTAGACTTTTAGTTCTTGATTTTAGGTTTGAAACTATGTTTGATGTCAACAAAAAAAAAGATTATGATTGATGAGATGAGTTAGATCCAATATATATCTTTTGGTTATCTGCAGGAAGCTTTGGAAGCTCATGATGGAGCAAGCAAAGGCAAATACACCATTGGACTTGGCCAAGATTGTTTAGCTTTTTGCACTGAGCTTGAAGATGTCATCTCAATGAGGTAATTGCTTTTCTTCTTTTAACATATATATATAACTTTCATGCAAAGACTGAGTTTTA